TTTCCAACGCACAACTTGGCTGTTGTGTTGCAGTGACTTGGGAAGTCAGCAGTGACTCGGGGCTCCTTTGGGTGAGGCTGCAGGTTTGCTTCCTCCCAAACCTGATGATGCCAACCAGAGCACAGTTTAGCCAGCAGTGAAGCCAGCACTTCTAAATTACTGCCCTCCCCTGTTCCCTGGGCAGTAGCAGGAGGTGGGATGTGTATGTCCCCAGTCCTTTTCTTCCTTTTTCAGCCTGTTTTGAACAACAAAATCTCCCCTCTGTGCCCCAGACAACCCTGCTCTCATCTGGGAGCTCAGTTTCCCTTCTGAAACTTCAGCTCTGGGGGCACCAACAGCAGAAGGACATGGACCTGCTCCAGCGGGACCAGAGGAGCCACGGAGATGCTGGGGGGGCTGGAGCCCCCCTGTGAGGACAGGCTGGGAGAGTTGGGGGCTTCAGCTGGAGGAGAGAAGGCTCCGGGGAGACCTTAGAGCGGCCCCCCAGAGCTGAAAGGGGCTGCGGGAACGGGGGGAGGGACTCGTCATCAGGGGGTGTAGGGATAGGATGGGGGGGAACGGTGTTAAACTGACAGAGGGCAGATTTAGATGAGATCTGAGGCAGAAATTGTTCCCTGTGAGGGGGGTGAGGCCCTGGCACAGGCTGCCCAGAGAAGCTGTGGCTGCCCCCTCCCTGGAAGGGTTCAAGGCCAGGTTGGACGGGGCTTTGGGCAACCTGGGCTGGTGGAAGGTGGCCCTGCCCGGGGCAGGGAGGTGGCACTGGGTGGGCTTTGAGGTCCCTTCCAACGTGAACCATTTCGTGATTCTCTAATCTATAAGATCTTCCCTTTGATTTTGGAAACGTATTCCTGGCAGTCTCTCCTTGGCTGCTCGCCCCTCCACATACCATGTGCTGTCGGGGCTCAGGGCACCGTCCCCTCCAGGCCCCCCATGTTCTGGGAGCAGGCTGCTCCTCTCCTCATCCCTCCCTGAGCCCTGTTTGATCCCCCCACAGTGACGCTGCCCCACGCCTCGCGGGCTGGGCTGTTTTCACACCGCGCTGAGCTCCTGGCCCCGAGATGCCCGTAAGGGCTCGGGCCGCGGACATAAGCAGTCTTGAGGAAGACAGCAGCAAGATCAAAAGCTTTTTTCAGCATCTCGCTGCGTTCTCCCGACCAGGCAGATCCTTTCACTGGCCTCTGACGGGGATTGTGCTTTCATGTTCAGAGATATTATTGGGTTTGGATGTTTTTCTTCCCCCCCTCTCTTCTGCAAAGTGGAGGGTGAGTCCCGAGAGGCTGAGCGCATTGGAGGGTGTCCCCGACCCCTGCAGTTAAACAGTAACATCTTGGGGAAGGGCCGGGGGAGATGTTTAAGTGGCTGAGAGAAACAGAAGCTATTGTTGTCGCAAAAGTTCAAGTTTCCAGCTTCCTCTTCCTCCACCTGTCAGGAGGGAGCGCTGGGCGTGCTCCGGGCGCTGAGCACAAACTCAAACATGCCCTCTGGGCTCGGCTGTGAGCGCGGTGTCACCGAGTTAGTCACCCAGAACCCCGGCAGCGGGGTGAATAGGAGGCACATCTGTCCGGGGGCAGCGGGGGGAGAAGGCTCATCGCCGCAACTGACTTGGGTTCTTTTTTTTCTTTTATTTTTTTTGGATCAAAGCGCTGGAGCTTTGCGAGCGGCTGTCTCGAGGTAAAAGAGCACAAAGCGCTGGGGTCTGCTTTGCCCGGGCTCCTCCGGCAAATTCCAGAGCAGGCAGGGAAGTTCTGGCCAAGGCCCTGTGCTGCTCCGGAGCTTCTGCACCTTTCCAGAGATATCTCCCGTCCTGTGAAACATCCCCAGCGCTGCCCTCGGAGCTGGGGCTCTGCAGGGAGACGGGACGTCCCTGGGAGCCGGCACTGCTCGCTCGCAGGCTCTAACCATTGGAAATCAGTCAGGAAAAACGTCATGCAGAATATCTCATCTAGTTGAGAAGCAGACAAACTTTCTGCCCTAAAAGCCTGAAAAAAAAGTAAATCCAAAAGTTTTTTCTGAAATCCTTAAAACACCACCAAACAGAAGAAGCAGCCGCCCTCTCTCAGGGTTCTGGTGGCTGGGTCTTGGCGGTGCTGCCGCGTCCCAGGACCAGTTTGTCATTTAACGCTGAAAATGGTGCTCAGGGAGCGAGACACCCGTGAGAAACTCCTTAGGAGGCAAGAGTGAGTGTCCTGGGTCTTATTTGGTTAAAATGTGGATAAACATCCTCAACATTGACCAGAGGGTTTTATTCAATTAAAAAAATACTCCTGCTGGTAAATACATTTGGCTGTCTAGGATCTGAGCAGGGCTTGTCGCTTTATCGATTGTCATATCATTAAATCAGGCGGGGAAAAAATTAATGATAGGCTTGAAGACCCTGAACATAAAGTTCAGTTGTCTAGAAAATCTGTTAAGTTGCTGAGCACATTGCAATGATTTAAAAAAAAAAAAAAAGAAAAGGTAAAAATCCAGCTCCTAAATGAAATGTCAGTGCATATTATGCTAGATGATGTGACGCTGGTAATTCTCTCCCTGGGCTCGGACATGTGGCATTCCAGATGCTTACGATTAGATTCCTGAATGGAAAACTACTTGATTAATTCTAATATCTTAGCTCCAAGCCCGTAATCGAATCCCGCAGCAGAGGCTCCAGCATCCTTCCTGTTGGATGCACTATGTTTTAACAGATTTGAATGCTGGACTAGCATCTTCATTATTTTTTTATTTTAAGAATGAAAATAATTCATTGTTCAATATGCTTCGCACTACGTCTGCAAAGAGAAAAGGCCTTCCAGTGAGCCAAAATGTCATTTTTCGTGGCTCCAGAGTGCTTTAAGTGAAGGCGGCTGGCCTGTCCTCTGTCTCACGAGGAGATGCTGAAGTGTTCAGCTGCGGTTCCCCATCATGGGAAAACAAACGTTAGAATTCACCCCGTGTGGAATTAAAACCAAACTCTTGCAGCAGAGTGACCCAGTGGCTGGTGGAGGGCAACCGGGATGGTCTGTTTTGTACCTTTAATGTTAAATCATATTAATACCGTGGTCACATGCAAATGGGGCTGATATTTGTGGATTACATTAATTAGCCCCCGTTAATAAGTGGTCAGTGTTGGGCTGTGAGGTTTTAGCTGTCAGGCAGAAGTTGCCTGAAGGGCTACGGCTGCCTCGACCCCTGCTTAACTGATGCCTTCATACCTCGGGTGGATTTGTGTCTGGCTCCCCCCTGCTTCTCTGGGGTTCCCCTCTCAGGCTTCCTCTCCGTTGCAGTAATATTTTCCTTTATTTGCTGGATTTTATGTGGCTATTAGCCTGTCAGATTGACACACTGTAGAGAGGGGGCGAGGTGGAAGATAGCGCGTTCAGAGTACTTCCAAATGGCCTAGTAAATACAAGGAAATTCAGAAATAACTTGTGCATATCCGACTATGAGAAGAGTGGAAGGTGACTGGGTGATGTGAGGGCTGGGAGAGGATTTTCCAAAGTACCAGAGTGCGTCGGGGGGCAGGCGATAAGGTCTCAGTGTAGGTTTCCCCCGTCTCTTGCTGGGCTTGGCTACGGCTCCTTGTGATATCTGGGGGAGCTGGGGCTGAAGCTGGTCCCCGCAGCAGCAGCGAGAGCTTTTTCATCCAAAGGAGCCGCTCTCTGTGACGCGCTGGCACATGGTGGCACAGATGGAGCGGTGGTGTGGATTTCTCCTGCAAGCAGAGTCCCTCCAGGCAAGAGCAGGTGATGGCTGTGACCAGCAGCGGCTGCAGATCCTGCTCAGACCTGCTTATCTGTTGTGAGTGCAGACACCCTCCGTCTGCAGAGCTGCAACGGGAGCTGATCTCCAGAGATAGAGATCTGCCCCGTGCCCCGGCTGCCATCACCCGGCTCGGAATCCCAGAATCCCAGACCAGTGAGGTCTCCCGTCCCTGCAAGGTGAGGCCGTGCCTCGAGCCAGCAGCGTGCCCAGGGGGCCAAGAAGGGCAACGGCATCCTGGCTGGTGTCAGCACTGGCGTGGCCAGCAGGG